GCCCTGTCACCTGGGTACTCTGTCCTCTTAAGAGACAAGCTCTACCCACTCCCAGTCTCTCTCTGCTCACTGAGGCAAGCCCACCTGCCCCCCACCTCTCTCCCTTCTTTCTCCATCTCTCTATTTCTCTCTTTCTCCTATCTCCCCTACCCTTATATCTTCCCAATCCCCACTAAATAAACTCTCCATACACAAACTCTCTCTTCATGGTATATCTGTCTTTCCCTTACCGGCCTGTGGTCCCCCATACCAGCAGGGTCACCTGCACTGTAAATCCTTACAATTATAGTTAAGAAACTACTGAATGAATCTTAGAAGAGGCTTTGGATTTTTAAACATTGTTGAGACTGTGATAGTCTATGGGGACTTTAAAGTTGGGCTGGAAGTATTTTACATTATGATATGGCTATAAGCCTATGGAGACCAAGGAGAAGAATGTCTACCACATGGTAGTTTGAATGAAAATATCCACTTGGCTCATAGGGAATGGCACTATTAGGAGGTGTGGTCTTGTGGAAGGAGGTTTGGCCTTGTTGGAGAGAGTGTGCCACTGAGGGTGGGTTTTGAGGTTTTAGAAGCTCAAGTTAGGCCTACTGCCTCACTGTATCTTCCTGCTGCCTGAGGTTCCAGATGCAGAACTTTACCTCTCTACTACCATGTCTGCCCGCATGCCACCATGATTCCTGCCATGACAATAATGGACTAAACCTCTGACCTGTATGCCAGCCCCAATTAAATGTTTTTCCTTTATAAGATTTGCCATGGTCATGGTGACTCTGCACAGCAATAGAATCCCTAACCAAGACAAGTGTCTTCTTTATACTACCTCCCCCTCCCCATCCCACCCACTGATGGCTTCTTCTATCTCCTCACCTTCTACATTCTTCTCACTGTCTCACTCTCTCAATTGTTCTCAAATCTGAAGTATTCTAAGCAAAATTTGAACTAAAAATGAAGCTTGATCTATGTCTAGAGTCACTATTAATGTTGACTTACTTTATGTGTTACAGTTTGAAAGCTGAAATAAATCAGTCAAGTTATTGGGGGCAGTCTGGCAGTGGGGTCTATACTGGGTTACAACTGACCTAATCACATCACCACAATTCCAAGCTCACCCCAGTTCCTCGCTCTCCTTACTCTGTGCATTTCTGTATACTCCCTAGCCTCCTCTGCTTCCTACTTTCCATGATCCTTGTACTTACTGGCTGATTTTCTTAAACTCTACTAATACATCTTAAAATTCTCAAGCAAAGTTGGCATTTCTAAATGAATTTTGTTTAATTACGTTATTAAGAGTCACATGTAGCTTTAGTTTTTATGTTAAAGTTTGGCAGCTAGTGTGTATAGGCTGTGTGACTGGTGGGTTTATAACTCACCCCATCTTATGCTCCTTCCACGCACTCACTCACTCTCTTCTCCCATGCCCCACCCCTTTTGCTTACACTCACTTACCCCTCACGGCCTACACTCCCTGTTACCCTTCCCTTTCAACTTAATGCTCCAAAAATATTTATATTAAATACAAATTTTTTATATAACGTTATACAAAAACCTCGGATGTGTATGTGTGAGATGCCTTTGTGTGTGAGTCTGGGCACATATATTCCGGGGATCTGAACTTACATCTTCAAGCTTGCAGAGTAGTCTGTATCCTCTGCACCACCTCTCCAGTCCCTGTTTATTTTTTTGTCACTGTAATATATTAGCTATCCTGGAGTATCCTGAGTGTTTTACTGTCTATGGTTGATGGATACTTTATACATTACCCTATTCCAAATTCACTCGTCTCCCCCACCCTATCTTCTTGTGATACCCCCACTTCTTGTTTCTCCAATGAAAAGATCAATAATTTTATGTAATACTTATATTAAAAGCTGTTGTTTCCCCACAGTCGAGCACTGGGCTGAGCTCCTGGACTTTAGTTGAAGAGAGGGAGGAAGGATCATATGAACAGAGAGGTGAAGAACATGATGACAGCTGACCTGAGCTAGTGAGGAGATCATGGACAATGGACTGCCAGCTGCACGGGACAGAACTAAATCCTCTGAATATGGGTGACAGTTATGTGGCTTGATCTACGGGGAGGGGGTTCTGGTAGTGGCACCAGGACCTATGCCAAAACAGGTACATGAGCTGGCTTTTTGGAGCCCATTCCCTATGGTGGGATACCATGCTCAACCCTGATACAGGGGAGAGTGGCTTGGCCCTGCCAGATCTTGTTGACTCCCCAAGGAAGGCCTTACCCTCTCCGAGGAGTGGATGGGGGATGGGAAGGGGAAGAGAGATGGGAGAGGGGAGGGGAGGGAGGAAGAAATGGGGCTGGTATGTTAAATCAAAAGTATTTTTTTAATAAAAAAAGGGGGGGAAGCTGTCTTTTCTTATATCACTGACATTTGTTGCTAGGTTTATTATTCCATATGTTAATATTTTGCAGTTGGAATATGTTAATTTATTTTCTGGGGCATTCTGGGTACATGACTGGTACTGCACTGTGTGTGACTGAGTCCCCTCTCAGACTCATCCCTTGGTACTCCCTCCATCCCTCCGCCCTTTATGCCCATCTACCCTCCCCATCACATTCTCACTGTCCTACTTCCCTTTACTCCTATTGATAAAGCTGAAGCATTCAAAGAAAATTGATACTAAAATAGATTTATTGTTTCATTAAAGATACTATTATTAATATATTTATTATTGTATTTTGGTGTAGTAGGTTGACTGTCATTGGTCCTTAGCTATGTGATTGACATTTGTTATGCATCCCCATCCTCTCTCTTCCCACTGCCCACCTTTCTAATTCTCTTTTTCCTACCCCTACACTGCTTCCTCTCTTTCACTCTTCCGCTTATTGATAACTTTAAAATATCTTAATTAATATTAAATATGTACAATCAATGAAGTCATTATTGATGACTTAATTACTAGTACGTTAATAGCCTACAACTGCAGTACACTTATTGTCTTGGAGGCTGTGCGTGTACAGTTGATCTGGACTGTGATGGATGTGTTCCTTATATACCCTCGCATCTCAATGTCACACCCAGTGCCGCCTTTCATTTCCAATCCCATCTCTCACTTTCTCCACTCTTCCCTTCTCCCCATTGTACTATCCTCTTTCCTCTAATAAATAAGCCTCAACTATTCCAATATTGATACTAAAGATAAGATTTATTATGTCATAGGAGAAACTAATTTCTTTGCTATTCATGGTATTGTTTCTTACATGATAATGTGAAATCAGGTAACATCCTTGGGTATTCTGGGTATATCTTGACCCTGGGTTGTGTGATTGACATTTTTTTTAAACAACAATCCTCTCCTCAATTCATCCCATTCTTAATCTTCTCTCTTTACTTCATTGCTCTCCCCCACTCTCTTCAGTGTCCCTCCATCTCCACTCTAATTCATTTCAAGTATTCCATTGAATGTTTTAGGATGATGAAAGTCACTATTAATTGTTGGCCTTATCATATCTGCTAATATTTTTCAGCTGGAATTCAGCTGATCCCTTGGGTGTTCTAGGCATATAATTGATAATGAGTTATGTGATTGGTATTCTTTATGCACCGTCCCCATTCCAAAGCCACACCCAACCCCAACCTCTCTTGGTGCCCTTCAGTCCCCACATTCACCCTGCTTTCTGCCCTCAAATGTTCCCCTACTCTCCCTCCCTCTCCATTTATTTTGTATGAAGAGGGGGGAACACCATTGTCCCACTTTGAGCTTATGGAGGTCAAAGGTCAGAGGTCAAAGGTCAGCTAGTAGGTACTCGTCTTCTTCTCCCACCAGGAGGGGTCCAGAGATCCAATCCAGGTTGTCCAACTTGGCAGCAAGCAACCTTATCTGTTGAGCCATCTTGCTGGCCCCCAATTCCACTTAAGTAAATCCTAATTATTTCAAGTACTATTAGTATTGGGGTTTATTATGTCCATGGACTTGATTTTATTTGGTGATTCTGTTACCACAGATACTTATGTTTTGCATCTGGAACATGTAAGTTGATTTCCTTGGATATTGTTGGCAATATTGCTATAGGGTTGTATGAGTGGGACCGACATGCTCCTTACCCACCACCCGCCCTATGGGATTACTAACCCCACACCTTTACTCTTCCTTCAGTTCTTCCTTCCCCAATCATATTGAATTATACCCGTGTTATGTCACTGGAATTATCATTAATTGGTGCATTTGCATGTTAGTCTTTTGCTCCTAGAATACACTTATTTCCCGGGGTATTCTTGGTGTATTATTACTAGGCTCTGTAATTGATGTATTCTTCATGTAAAACCCCATTCCAAATTTACTCAACTTGTACCCCTCCTCTTCCCATCCCCCACTCTGCCTTGTGATCCTATTTGCCCATCCTCCACTCATAAATCTCAGTTGTTCCAAGAAGTACGTGCACTAAGGTCATGTCATTGTAATTGCTATGGATCGGTTGCTTCCTACACATGTATTTTATAAGTGGAATAATTTGGTTTGCTGGGGGTAGTCTGGGTACCTCATTGGTAAGAGTCTATGTGACTGGTATGTTGCATGGTACGCCATCCTCCACCCTCCTGCCCCATCTCCCAATCTTCTACCCTTGTTCTTCTTCCCTTTCATTCTCAGAGGTCCCGCCCCCTCTAATATATTAATAAATCAAGTATTCCAAGTCAGACGGAGATTAATAATTATGTCGCTGGAGTTGCTATGAGGTGAATATTTGGCTGATGTCACAGCTGGAATGAACTAGTCGATATCTTGCAGTATTCTGGGTATATTATTAATGAACTGTGTGACCGATTGATATAGTATTAATGATGAACCATGTGACCGATTGCTTATATGCCATCCCTATCCCAAACATTTTCCCAACCCCACCCTTCCCCACCCTCTTTTCCCATTTGCCCCCCCAACTCCTTTACTTCCTAGTTCCCACCGGTTATCACTCCGGACCCACCCACTGCTCCTCCTTCCATTCTTGATGATGGGTGGGCGCTGAAATGATCAGGACACAATTTGCCTTAACCACTAAGTCTTTATTTATTGAATTTTTATTGTAACATCAATATAGTAAAGAGAATACAGTAATATAGTTTGAAGGGTGGGGTTGGGAAGGGGAAGGGAAGAAAGGGTGGGGCTAGGGAAGGGAGGGGAGGAGGGCTACTGACAAGGAAAGAACAAGAGATTTTATTCATTACATTCTCATAATTTCCATGAATATTTATCATTCAGCATTACAAGTTTTATTCCAGAAACAGTTTTGCAAATATGCCTCTCAAAGTTTTACTCACAATCTATCCCTGGAGATAATTCCTGGGCCTTTATTACACTGATCTAATCATCTTTGAACTTTCACTAGAATTCTATCCATGTCTAATTCGCTCATAGAATGTTGATTTCCCTGCAGTTCCCTCAGAGTAGAATTTTAAAGGTAAAATTGTAGGGAGGGGTAAGAGGGACAAATAAGTACACTCGTCCACTTATTGTTATCTTATCCTAACTTATCCTAACTTATCCTAACTTATCCTATCTTATCCTAACTTATCCTAACTTATCCTAACTTATCCTATCTTATCCTAACTTATCCTAACTTATCCTATCTTATCCTATCTTATCCTAACTTATCCTAACTTACCCACCCACCTAAGATTACTTAATAATCCCTCCCAGCCTAAAATTCTTAATGACTATGTATCCCCTATTACTTGACTATAGAAAAAAAAAAAAGAAAAACAATACAATGTTCAAGACCAACTCAAAAATGTTCTACAATCTGAAACAACCAAAAGCTTCCATTCCCATCAGATGCGTGTTCCCTCTCCAGCTGAATATGTAGCGTGGTTCCTGCAGACTCTTCTCTTCTGCAGGTGGTCCTTCATGAATGTTCAGGCCTCTCCAACAGGGTGCTCTCCATTGCCAATCTCGGAACTGTGTGGGATGCAGGATGCTGATGATGCGCGACAGCCAGATCAGTTCAGGAGTCCAAGAGGTACCTGCAAACTTAAACACAACTCTAGACGGCACCATACAGATGCCCCTCTCAAATTAGCATCTCAGCCAAATGCCTCCTGGTTCAAACCAAACTGACCCCTTCATGATGTTAATGAAAAAATAAAATTTGGGCCCATAGCCAATTAGTTAATTTTGTCAGTTTGTATTTTCCTCCTTTTCCAACTTATCTTTCCTTCCTAATAAATGAATAAGGGCATTTTTGTTGGAAATGCCAAATAAAAGAAAAAAAAAGGAACATTTAATGTAAATTTGATCAACAGAAGAAAAACAAAAGGAAACTTAACAACTTAACAAACTAAAAGGAAACTTAACAACTTAACAAACTAAAAGGAAACTTAACAACTTAACAAACTAAAAGGAAACTTAACAAAATTCCAGTAAATTGAAGAGTACTTATCCTTAACACTTAACCCTTATAGCTAGTATATAGGAATAGGGCATAGTACACACTGCCAAAAGTCATTAAGCAAGCTTCACAAAACAATCCAGTGTGTGTCAGGGCTGTTGTCTGTGAGCTGTGGGCCCACACCAGCATGTTCTCCCTGACTGTCATGGTCAGCTTCTCCAGATATCTGCTTGCAGTGGTGGCAAATGTCCGTGTGTCTATGCCAGGGCTGCAGAAGATGGCCCATTTCTAGGCACTCTGCAGCTTGAAGATCAAATCAATTAAAACGCATGAAGGATAAAACTGAGTGAGTTCTGAGGTAAACTGAAGTGACGCTTCACAAAAATCAGAAGCACAAATGCACCATTTAAAAGTAATTAATGTAAAACACGATGACTGGCGAGCTCTCTGGTCCCACTGAACAGGAATCAACAGCCAATCAGGGTTCCTCCAATTGTATCTCTTTTTTGTGAATTTTAAAGGCCCAATTAATAGAATTTAGATTGTATGTGTACTTCCTAATTCAATGGAAACTCTGAAAGCATAGCCAACACTTGAAAACAAAATGTTTAAAAAAAATCTACTAAACTACTTAAACATGCAAGGGTAGGGGAGAGATGCTGTTGATGGAAAAGGAAACTTCACCGTGAAGACAAAATCCATGTTGTGTCCTACTGCTCAAACTGAACTAGAGACTGAGTCTCAGCAGTCTGGCAGGAAGGGGACAAATCCTGCAGCAGGGTGAATGGCAGCAGTAAGAATCAAACAAAAAGAAAGAGGTTAGACGAATGGAGTTTGAAGTCGGCGAAGTTCCGGAGGGTGCAGCAAGTTAATCACGGAAGCCTTTCCATGCTGCACCAGAAAGTCTGGCTTCCTTCATAAGGTGCCCGTCCTAGGATGCGGGCAGGTCGTGTCCTTCCTCCTCCTCTCCTCCCCTCTGTAAGAAATCAGCAGGTCCTGTGTTTGCACCAGCTTCTCTGTAAAGAAATTAGCCAGTCTGCAATTGAGATGTCAAATTACTAACTGGCAGTCAAGATGGAAAACTGACGTTAGCCCTGCGTGCCTTTGTGCCTCAGGTGGTCTGAAGATCCAGTAGCACACAGTCATTGATTGAGAAGCTGCACAGGTCAAAGTTGAGGGCAGAGACACTCCGAAGGTCACGACAGTCTTTACAAGGTACTGTAGGATGGAGGTGGTGGAGGTGGCGGCGGAGGAGGCGGCGGCGGAGGTGGCGGCGGCGGCGGAGGAGGATACTGGGGTACCGGATGAGGATGATGGCGGTACCAATGTGGACACCAGGTGATCACAACCGGGGTGAGGATCATTCTTCCATGTATATCTCGTCCCACTGGGTGCCATGCAAACATCACCTGATGACCTGCGTAGGCATAGACAGGGATATGGTGATGATGGTGGTGGTACCCGTGAATGTGAGGGACAAATTCACCATAGGTTGCCAGGTGTGCATGGTCTGCCATGTTTGGAAGAGTCATGCGAACGTACTGATTTTGGACTGTGCAGTTGTGTGGAGCTCTGCAATTGTACGTGACTTGGAGTTTCCACCCTCTCTTCACTTGCAGGACCTGGGCTCCGTTGGGAGCGACGGTCGGAATCATGAGTCCATTCTTCACGTTCCTGTCCACGAATTCTCGCAGGGCAGCCATTTCAGATTCAGACAAAGAGTACACATGTCCACTGGGAATGCTGTGAGCTCCAGGGATCATCTCTATGTGGGGGTCAACCAGCCGGTGACCCGGATAGACGTGCTCATCCACAGGTGTATACACATTCTGGACGTAGTAATACCTCACAGGGTGGAAAACTCTGTATCCATCCACGTGGTAGAAGAACGGTGGATGTGGAGGATAAGGTGGTAGCAGCAGAGCAGGAGGTATCTGGGAATACATCCGGCAGTGAAATCGGCAGTAATCGGAGTTGAAGACAATGGAGCGAGTGCTCCAGGTAATGTGAGGGTCGTGTGTGCTCAGCCAACGAATTCCCAGGACAATGGGAAAGAACGGAGACTGAGTCACATCAAAAGACAGTAGTTCTCGGTGGTCACCCAGGTCAACAATCAGGTGGTGTGTTTCTAGAACAATTGGGCCCGAGGCTATAGGATGCCCATCTATCGCTTCCACCATGATTGGCCATTCTTTGATTCTTAGAGGAATCCCATTTTGGATGACGTAGTCTTGATCGATGAAGTTGCCGGATGCGCCAGAATCAATCATAGCTCGGACAAACAGGGTGTGTCGGCCCGGGATATGGATCTGGAGCATCACTTGCAGGTGCGGAGTCGAAGCCTCGGGGGGTGGGGACCTTATTCTGTCTGGCCCGGTCGCTGAAGGTCCCTCTACAGCGGGGCCGGGGAGTTTCCCGACGGTGAATTTTTGGAGGCCTTCGCTGGACAGTTATCCGCGTAGTGGCCTCCACTGCCGCAGTATAGACATAAGTTCAGTTTGCGGCGTCTTTCTTTTTCTTCCTGGGTCAGGCGCATGCGGGCACCTCCCACGGGCTCAGTAGGATCAGACTGGCGGTTCTGAGGCATCACCAGGGCCCTGGGTGGATCAGGTCGAGGCTTGCGAGCAGCAGCAGCAGCAGCAGCAGCAGCGCGGGCCTGTCTTCTCTCAATGTGAATGGATAGACTGATCAGAGCAGAGAGGGTGTTTGGGAGCTCGTGGCGAGACACCTCCTCACGAATTTCGTCGCTGAGGCCTTCAAGGAACTGGTCAATTAGAGCATGCTCATTCCAATCCAGATCTTGGGCAACCATCTGGAATGAGTTGGCGTACTCGGCAACAGATCCCAAGCCCTGGCGCAGACGTCTGATCTTGCGTTTGGCAGCTTCACGTCTCTGAGGGTCTTCAAAGACTTGCTTCAACTCCATCATAAAGGCACGGTAGTTGTCCATCAGGTAACTGGCTCGTTCCAGCATAATAGAAGCCCAGCGGGCGGCTCGGCCGGTCAGCATGCTTGTCACGAAGCATACACGGATACGATCAGCAGAGAAATCTCTGTTGCATCTCTCCATGAAGGTCTGGCACTGGGAAATGAAGTAATTCAGATTGTCAGGGTTGCCATCAAACTTCTCAGGAAGGAATTCAAGACAGTCGTCGTCAAAGAAGATGGTTGGAGCAGCAGCCGCTGCAGCACCCTGGAGCGCAAGGTCATCGTCATTGTCATCTCGGCGGAACCGGAAGTGAAAGTGTTGAGGTTCTGGTTCAACTTCGACTTCCATGTGATCGCGAAGGTTGCGAAAGCTGCGGAGGCTGCGAAGGCTGCGAAGGCTGCGAGGACTGCGAGGGCTGCGAGGACTGCGAAGATTGCCAAGGTTGCCAAAACTGCCAAAATTGCCAAAATTGCCAAAATTGCCAAAATTGCCAAAATTGCCAAAATTGCCGTTGTGGCCTGGGAAGAGCTCCACCTGGGTGTGCAGGCTGTTGTTCCTCATGGTCGGCCTGACCACCTGTTGTTCTCTGAAGCCGCTGCTCTCTCCAGAGATCTCACCATGGCGGCGGCGGCGGCGCTGGTTGTTGTTGGGCACGCAGGGGCTCTTGGGCCTGTTGTTGTTGTTGTTGTTGTTGGGGGGAGGAGGAGGAGGAGGGGGCGGGCAGTCGAAACCCCCGGTAGCCATGGTGGTGGTAGGAGGGGACCTCCCAAGTGTTGCCTCACTCTGGGGAGGGTGCCCTGGATTCTGGGCCCCTCGTGGTCGGCGTCTCCTCCTGGTTCTCAAAACACGCTTATTCCTGTAAATGAGAGCAAAAGCATAATTCAACATATACATTCAAAGCAGTCGCTATAACAATATAAAAACAATATTATAAATATATAAACAATATAAAAATATTTATTGATAATTAACAGAACACACCCTCAAAAGGGGATGAAGGAATCACTCACAAAATAATAAAAAGCACACCACCTCTTGATGTCCAGACATTCAAATGCCTGTTCTCCTAAAAAAGCCACCTGCTCCTTATAATTAATACATGACCTTTATCAGAAGCACACTCATCTTTCCAGGCTATAAAGGAAAGTACACAATCGTAAACAACTCCATTTGTATGGAGGTTACACAGCAAGAAAGTTCCAAGGCAATGATAAATAGGAAGTGAATTATGCAAATAACTTCTAATTATGCAAATAATCCCAACACCATACCTTTTATTAATAAGGGTATTAGGAAAAAAACTAATACTTTAATCAATAACAATCCACACACACAAAAGACGTGGGTATAAGAACCACAATGCCTGTACTCATCAGCTCTGAAGAAATGAAGTACACACTTGGCCAAAGGTCACAACAGAGGTGCACACTTAACACCGAAGGTCTAATTATGAAGTTGACCAACCACTATCACAAACACAAGGCTGTCTAATTGCTTTTATGACCACAAGTTAATGTCCTCAGAATTGTCTATGGGACAGAAAAGGCAGTGAACAGTACAAAGGGATGTCAGTTTACCTTATTAAGCAATCATTAATCAAATATTAATTGATGCCTCCTAAAGAGAAATAGGTTATATAATAGGACATCTTTTCTTAATGATACATGATAATACAACAAATTCAATTATGACTTAATTAAATAATGCAGGTATAAATCACTGAATTATACCTGCTAATTAGTTAATAAGGTTATTAATTTTAAAAAAAGTTAACTTTCTTATAAGCGGAAAGGGGCTGTAATTATAGCAGCTTGGTCACCCAGAATTACAGATAATTAAAAATATACTTTATTATGTTTACAAATTAAAATTAGTCAAAGAAATACAGAAGTTTATTTATACTACAGGTCACCGGTGCAGTCTTTAGTTTTTAATTGAGATTTCCATAGGGCCCACCATAGGGCTTCTAAAATTAAGGTGGGATAGGCCTGGACTCCAAAAAGATGAGTGGATGTGTGGGGGGGAAGAGTTGAAATGTTTCCATAATGAGGGTAGTGATAACCATGGGACACCTTCTACTTGTGTACTTCCTGAAAAAAAGTTAAGTACAATTAGATAATTATGGATTCATAAGAATCTCAAATCTCAAATTAAGACAATTAAAGTAGTTATAGTAAAGAATAAGATATTAAAGTTTTACAAACTTTGAAATTGAACAGTCTAGCAAACTTTTTAAAAAGTTTAACTAAGTTTACTGAAGTTAAAAAAAACTTTTTAAAATTTTGAACTACAAACAACTTTTAAGTTTAAAGCCTGAAACTACAGAAAGTTTTGAAGTTCTGTTTTCAAAACTTTGAACTTTTTAATAGTTACAAACTTTTAACTTAAAAAGTTCAATGAAAGTTTAATGACATAAAGTTTAAAACTTTTGAATAAACAAAAGTTTAAAAATAAGTTATTTTTCTCTAACCAATCAAGGTGAAAATGGGCACTATTAAATTCTATGAAACAAACAAAGATTTAAAAATGTTAATTAGAAAAGTTGGGTGGAAAGCAGCTAATATTTTATTCAATAGAATATTTTTTAAAAAGAGGAAAACTGTCATCCCACATGACACCTGTTCATCACCCTTGTCCAATCCCCCTGCTTTCCCCGCCCATCTTTTAGGCCCCTCCCCTGCTACAACCACCTGCAGCCATTTTCCCTTTATCCCAATATGTCTTGTGGCCTCTTCAATGAGGAGAGCACACAAGGTCCTTAAAGGACAGGGAACAGTGTGCCATTTTAACAGGTTTAACACTTCTACTTAATCACTTTAAACAGATAACTGATAATATTCAAGTTTTTAAAAGTTAGAAGACACCTTGACCTGTGGCATTCCCAATTCTTTAAAGTATATTAGTAACAAAGACCATAGTCAAAACAAAGCAATATTTTTTAATTAAATTGCTTTAATCTCTCCTCAAAAAAAAAAAAAAAACACTGGTCAGGTGACTAAAGTGTGACTTCTGTCATCTAGAAAATAACAATTTCAAAACAGAAATTAAAAACTTCCTAAAGATGGTCTCAGCATGTCTTGGTGCGGCCTAACCCAGGTCAGGAAGGGCTTTACTGAAGCCAAGTCTGATGGGCATTTACACTTACAAAAGACAATTCATTATAGGACAGAAATTGCATTAGCAAATCAGCAATCAATACGCCATTTGTATTGATATTGCAAAATATCTCATTGTTTGTAAAAGATAATTTAAAAAGAGACTTGAGTTAAGGAAATGGGGGAGGGGCTGCACCCGGGCACCTTGGAGAAGTGTGGCCCTCCCACCAGGGTATTCAGGGGGGCTGCACCCGGGCACCTTGGAGAAGTCTGCCCCTCCCACGAGGATACTCGGGGGG